GGACATTCATAGTTATACCCCAATTTTTTTTTAAGTTCCGTTGTTGAATATTATAGGTGTGTAAACTCAGCAAAATATTCTAAAAGAGTACAGAAGCCCATAATAGCATTGAGTCTTCTGTTTAATTGGCAATGTCAGAAATTATTGACGTGAGTCCCCCACAGCTCAACATAACAACATGGCTTTACTTCCTATATTTCATCTTCATACTTTTCTGCTGGATGGTTAAGACCAAGGTAAAGCAGAACCTATGCAACAAGAGTTGTAGCTTTTTGGTCTGAGAAGGTCAGTGAAATGCCCTCAGGATTTATCCTGAGATCCTGTACCTCAGATTGTAGAACCTTTGTCAGTGCAGCCATGTGGATGAGTCACGGCCATTGCTTGGCCAATGTGCTCTCTGTGGACATCTCTTTCATGGAACGGATGAATGAGCTACTGTATCAGGGACACAGGGAATTGTTGTTTTGAGGAGAGGGCTGGGAGAGACATGGACATTTACAAAACCAGGTAGGATGAGACTTCTCCTGAGGCAAGGCGGGGTGAATCTGGATCCTCATGCACACAATTCCACTTTCTATAATTTGATGCTTTACTTAAAGAAGGCCCTCTCTCCCTGACACAAGGGCAGGGCACAGCTGTGCTTAGCACTACAGGGCCTTAGGGTCTCAGCTATGCACAGTTTAAAAATAAAGAGCATCATTTGGCCCTGGACCTGAGGCCCAGGAGGGGCTTTTCATTGGCTACCCTTTCTGCTTAAAGAGCTCTGGTGGGCTCTGTAGGTCTGGGCTGCCTGGGAACAATTAGTTTTGTAAGTCACTTCACAGCAGGCAGTTCCAACTGTCACTCCTTCCCAACTTGTGCAATTAAGAAGACTATAAGGAGAATAATGAAATAGGCCACTGGGAGCCGCTCTTGCTGCCCTCTTTCCCTGCGGTTTGTGAATTCAAGCAGGTCCAAATATTTCCAGCTTTGCTTTCTCTGAGAGCAGAGCAGAGACTGGGTCGTGCAAGTCTCTGGGCCTCGGGGTGTGCTGGAGAGGCAGTGGGGCATGGACACTTCAGGTCGTTTTTCTGTAAAAGGCACCTGAGGGTCTGACTTCAGGCACCTTTGCATTTGCTGATCCATGGGCAAGGAAAGTCCCTCACGGCCATTGCCACTCTACCTACTTCCTGTTTGTCCTTTGGAAATCACATTAAAGTCTCATCTTCTCTGTACCTTCCCCAACTTCACTCACTTGTATGTTCTGACCCTCGTATGAATTGCTGAATTATTATGGTGGTCATCTAATATGGCTGAAGCCCTTAAAACAACAGCTTATCTCCGAATGACCACTTCCTCCTTCTCCCCAACCCAGTCCTGGACACAGTTTCCTTTTACCTTTCCCACAACACAGGAGAGACCCCAATCAGCTCCATAGGTGTCTTTAAACTTGCTTCTTAAACTCTACCTCTAGCAAAAGTCTATAAAAGTCTCAGCTCTCTTTGCAGCAGGTTAGAGGAATCCCCCCTCCTGTCTTTCCTGGGATTCTCTCCATGTCTTTAAAGTTAACAAAGGCTTTTTTTTTATCTTGCTTATCTCTTTACTGTGCTGCTGAAAAACCTAAAACCCATGTGTCTGAGTACTTACCTTTTAGTACGTCATATAAGATACTCATTGGAGACAAGGTGTCTCAGGCAGTGTTCCACAGCCTTTGGGGCATCGGTCTACGTCTTAAGACATCCAGTACATCTTCAGTGTGGATGTATGTGGGCAGGAACAATAGAAATTTGCAGGCAAGTATTTAGATAGTAGCCTCAGATCATGGGTGGAATTGAATTATCTTGTAGCATATCTTGTCAGCAGCCTCGGGCAGGTATTGGTACACAGGAAAACTGGAATCGCTGGCATAGGGAGCGAGTTGTTCCCTCTGCCAGTGAGTGTGATGCTCTCTTGCTCCTGGAGGAAGGGCAGAGTCAGAGCTCTGCTCTGTGCCCCTGAAGCTGGACACCCTTTCAGTGGGGTAAGTGCAAGGCTGTTGGGTTGGACCGAGAAACACCTGTGAAGCAAAGCACACCTCTGAGGGCGTCCCTGAGGGAGTTTCTGTAGGAAGATGACATGAGGGAGGGCAAACTGATGAGGAAAACCTGCTCAGACTGAGTGGCACCATCCAGTAGCTGGGAGCTGGGTACAACAAAGGCAGGGGAAAGAGAACGCTAGCCAGGCTTGAGGCTGGCTCACACTCTACTTCCGACCTGCTACAGCTGAGCAGCCTTGGCCCCCTGTGCCCCTTCCTCCATGATGTGGCTGCCTCCCACACTCCCAGAAACCAATACAAACTTTTCCTCTGTGTTTTACGCTGGGGCATTTTGTCACAGTGACATAAGATTAGCACAATTTGGTTACCCATGTAATTCTAAACAAGACCTACATCACTTAGCATACAAATTCAGGATCCTCCTTAACTACTCTGGTCTCTACTCCCAGTTTATTCTCAGCCAATTTGCAGTTGATGTTTTCTAGTCCTGAAGGTGAAGCAACAGAAACCCAGTTAGACATGCTGCTTGTGGTACCCACTGAGCACAAGACATCTTCACTGCGATCAATAATGAAAATTAACAATGGCAGTCTTTAGAAACCAATCAGGAGCACAGGAGAGTGTTGTGCTGTCTTTTAAAAAGAATTATTGCTAACTCTCCACACTGCTATGCTATTTGGCAAAAAGCTTGCAGAGATTTTTGATCAGGAAGAGACTGTCCTGGTTCCAATAAACAATAGTCAATAGTAATCAAGAAGCTCCAGTAATCAATAAAGCTGTCCGTGCAATCAAGTGCATGTGCTGGGACTGCGCATGCTGCCCTTGGGCATGACAGTGCAGTTGCTGGGTGGGAGCTATTTCCACCTCTCAGGTGAGACACAAGCTCTGCGAAGCCCTTGGGGGCCTCTTGCATAAGGCCTCATGAGGTGAGGTATACGATGAGGTCTGAATGGATCTCAGTGTTCTGCCTTTTGTGCACCATCATGATGCTTCCTAAAACGCTTATTTCATTAAGAAAACAGAAAGGGATCAATAATTTCTGACATTGCCAGTTAAACAGAAGACCCAATGCTATTATGGGCTACTGGACTCTTTTAGAATATTTTGCTGAGTTTACACACCTATAATATTCAATAACGGAACTTAGAAAAAATGGGGTATACTGATGAATGTCCATTTTGTATCTGTGTATTCAAAGAGGTTGGGATAGACATATAGTTGCATTCTCTTAATGAATAGAATGATTTGTTCTAATGGTGTTTGTAAATAGCTTCACAAGTCCACTTCGTGTACAGCAATTAACCACTAAGAAGAATATATGCAGTGTATTATTTGTTGAAACTGTACTTCCGATTTGATTTGAAACTGTCTCATTGCTATCTGTTTATCAATAGAACTTTGAAGAAAAAAAATAAATTAGCAGCACTAAAAAAAAAAAAAAAAGAAAACAGAAAGGTGTGAGAAAGGCTGAAAGAGATACTTGCAAATGTGGAGCACAAAAGACAACTTCCTCTACTTCCAGGTTTTACGCTTCATGGAGAACAATGACTTGATTCTTAAAGGATGGTGGGCATTTGCACAGAAGGGGGACAGACAGGAAGGATGCAGCACCAGCAGGTGGGGCCCAGCAGGTGGTAACAGGAAGTGGTAGAGAATGAGTATGAACCCGCAAGTCAGAGCCTTCACATTAGGGGAAGTACTCTATCTTGGTCCAGCGAAAGTCATTGAGTTAGGTATTTTTTTGTTGTTGCTGGGATAAATATCTGACACTTAAAATGAAGGAAAGGTTTATTTAGTTCACAGTTACTGGAGGTTTCATAGTTTAAAGCAGCCTGAATTATGTAGCAAGACCTTGGAGCTTTATTTGCTCAGGAGAGAGGGTCAATGCCTCTGTATTCTCTAAACATGCCCTCTCTGCCGAGGTGGCCTCAACTGCAGACACCGCTACCCCGCGCTACAGGGTCTGGAGGAGAGGCTGGGGTACCACCGTGTCCAGGATGACCAGTTCCACACCTCAGAGAGGTTGCAGGCTGGGGGGGGGGCGGTGCAGCGTGTGCTGCTAGTTTAAGAATTTGGGGTCTCTCTGGCCCCGCCCCTTGAGCCCCGTCCTGGTCCTCTGGCCCTGCCCTTCAAGCCACTCTCCGCTCTCCCTGCTGCATCTGCCCCATGACTTACATGAGACTTTGGGGGGACAAGTAGACACAAACAATAGCAGTCATCAGACATTATTAACATGGCTAAGACAAGGCCAGATGGGGCACCGGAAAAGGGGCAGCCTGAAAAAATGAAAACATAAGGAAAATACCGGAACACAAGCGCCTGCGCCGGATGCTTTCATCAAAAGACAGGGAAAACAGATTAAAGAGAGCAGAGTAAAATGGCAGCGATGAGTGGACCGGACAATTTAGCTTGGAAGTGTAATGCAAAAGCAAGTAGATTAGGAAAGATAGGTTAGCGTCCTGCAAGCCTTTCCTGGACACTAGCTGCTCTGATCATTCTACCACATGAGACTGTCTTAAAACCACAGAGAAGTTCCATGCTAGCAAGGAATTTACTATTCCAGTTGCACAGTGGGAAAAGTTATGCATGGAAAGTTCAGTAACAGCCATCAAGTTGTAGATAACTCAGGCTGTTCGGTGCATAAGCTTTATTTTTCACTATTGTATCATATAGTTCCCAGGCTGGGCTCAAAATTCTCATTAAGATATGAACTGGAGAAAGAGGCAAGAGTGTATAGGGTTATTGAGAACAATTTGCCCATTTTGAATTTAAATTTCTTATAGAGTATTCAGCTGGAAGTGTCCTATTACTTAATTGGAAACACAGATCAAGGGGAATTCAAGATAAAGCACTTAGTGTTATATAGATACCAAAAGGCCACATAACTCAGTGGAGGAGCTATAAACAAATGCGGAGCATAGAGAAGAATAAATTCTGTGAGGACCATCTTCTTGGAGCAGAAATAAACACACAGACAAATAGAATCTCCAAGAATGCAAATTTCATAAACTCAGTCTTTATTTTCCATTTTCCATTTGATACTTATTTTCTCGCATGAGATTTGTGCACCTGGCTTCTCATAATCACTGCCTTTTTGAAGTATCAAGCACCACTCCCCTAGCATATTAGCTCCAGAGAACCCTGGATTTTTCTTGAAAGGTAACATTACTGAAGATCACATACTTGCCAAAATGGGACATGTAAGCATTCATGTTTTAAAATTAACATGAATGAATGTGTTTTCAAAAGGGGAAAGATGACATTGACAAAATTAGAAGCAGAAGAGTTGTCTGTTCCAAACTTCTTCCTGGTCCCTTCTCTCAGCATCTTGCTACAGACTGCCTTTGCCAGCCGTGATTCAGAGAGAAACTTGGGTGCCAACAGCCTGAGTAGGAGAAAGGTGTCACCACACAACACCTAATTCAGTGGTCTCATTAAAAGGGACATGCCATTCACTGCTGGCATTTCAAAGTGCAATTGTTGGGGAGGGGTGGGGAGGGCTGAGTGAGAGCGCAGGTGCTCATGGGTCTCCCCAGTCCCAAACAGAAGCAAGGTTTCCTCCAGTAACCACCCAGCAGTTACCGGAATTCATTTGGGAAGGACACAGGAACCCAAGGTCTGCCCGGTTACATGCCATCCTTGAACATATTCCCATAAGGTGCATCTTGCATAGAAGACTCATATGTGTTAAGTTGGCAAGGTGGACAGGGGCCTAGAGAAGGGGACTTCCTCACAAAACCTCTCGATTTCTGTCCAAATCATCTCATCTCCCAAAACAAAATGAGCAGTGGTGCCAAGGGAAGAAGTCAAAGAGCAATCCAAAGGTACTTTGTGATTCTCCTGGATTTTATAAAACTATTTACATTTCTCTTTTTGGTCATGGCAAGGTCTGTTGGCACAAAAAGCACAGCCACAAAAGAATCTTTAGATTTTTAGCAATTCATCTTATATATATTTATATATATATTTATATTTCTTTTTATCTTCATTTCCTCAGCAAAAGGGGAAATAAAAATAGTGATCTATAAAATAAGAGGATGCTAACACAATGCCAAAAATAGCTTATGTTAAGTGCAAGGGGCGAAGCTTGAGAGCAAGCTGGAATTGCAACAACATATTGATTTAACATTTAAATACAAGACTTGCAATAAAATAATTCTTGAGATAAGTTTCTTACTTTTAGTTTACTTTTTAAAAACTACTCTATATACACATATCCAGTTGTAACACTCTACAGTAGCATGAGGCGGCATGATATAACTTTGGTACACATTGCAGACATGGATAGTTAATGACTGTAAATGACATCTCTCACCAGCAGGGCCCTGCACAGCCAGGTGACCAGCTACCCACTCCCGTATCACTGCCCACCAGAGTCCCCGCAGCTCTCCCCAGAGCCGCATTGAAATGTCGAGTTCTTTGGGTGACAGCAGGCTCACTGGATCCATATCGTGTTTCCTCTCTCCGGCCTCCTGGGTTCCACTGTCAGTTCTCCAAACGTGGAAAAGAACTGCTCCATCTCCTTCTGCAGCATGTCATTTCTTTTCTCAGCATCTTCCTTGGCGCGCTCGGCATTCCGCATTTTGATTTCTATCATGGTGAACTTTTTTCTTTCTTGATCCAGTTCATCATGGAGGCTCATCATTTCTGTTTCCAAAGTCAAGTTTCGCTGTTCTAAGCTACAAACAAGGAGGAGGCAAGGGAGAGGGAAGAAGACACAAAGAGAATGAAGTGTGAGAGGGATACCAATATTTTCTAAACTATCTGTAATGCTCAGGAAATTAGAATGGGCCCTTCAAGTCAACAAAGCAAGATCTCGAGGTCAAAACAGTTTCGTTTTGTGGTGCATCTTCCTACTGGCTCACATGGTTTTCTCCCATCTCATTAATAAGGCCCATGACATCTGGGAAGAGATTAGATATTATTTAACAGTCAGTGAATGAGTTTCAGTGCTGAGAAGCTAGAGATGCAAATCATAGAGCACAGGCAGGACAGAAGTACGAAGCAGCCAAACTCCAGGAGCCCCTGGGATGTTAACATCAACATGGCCTTACTAAGAAATTCTGACTGAGTTGGAAAAAAAAGGCAGACAACCACATTTGCCTTCTATCAAAGAAAAAATACTGATAGCAAAGACATGATGGCTTGTCCTGAAATGTTGAGTTTGTCAGATTAGAACTTGCTCAGAGTGCTAGTAAAGCACCGTCCTGGGTGGGCTGGGGGCTCATGGAGGCAGGGGCCCATGGAGGCCTGGCCTTGGGGTCCGCACCTGGGCTCCAGCCCCTTCCTCACAAGCCTGGTGCCCTGCTCTGCTTCCCTGAAGCCACGAACTAAACAGCTTTGCTCTGTGACCTCCTTCAACCAGGACATTCCTGCTTTGAACCAGCTGATCAAGGATGGAATCGTCTGAAACCATGAGCCAAATTGAACCTCCTACCTTTCAATGGTGGTTCCAGTATTCTGGCCCAATGACAAAATAGCTAATGAATGCATATGTAATTGTATGACTGAGCCCACTTCTAAGAACAGGATTTTTTGCAAGCAGTCTCACAGGTAGCTGCACTACACTGATGAGAGAGGCAAAGATGTAGATGTCAAGTAAGAACACTCCACCTGTTTGGTAAGCACAGGGCCCACACCATAGCCTGCTGTCACCAGCTTTTCACTGTCTTCCAAATGGATAGAATAACTTCTTTAAAAGCAGACTGTGTTTCCTCAACAACCACTAAGATCCAAGATATATAAGTATGTCTCCACACATCTATGCAGCTTATGGATTCATGTATGTTTTAAAAGAGAAGTATTAAACAAAGTCTATCATAAGATGTGGCCTGGCAACAGGCTAGGCTTTTCATTTCTCCTTTTTTTAAAAAAAATCTAAAACCACATTGGATATTTCACATTTATTAGATCCCTGGAATTAGAAATGGTAATGTATATAGGTATGGCTTTTATTTTACTAACAATTATACAAGAAAAATCACAGGGGCTGGGGAGATAGCTCAGTGGTCTAAGCACCTGCCTGGAAAGTGCAAGGACCTGGGTTTGATCCCCAGTAATAGCCCTGAACAGAGGACTGAAAATCAACCAGAACATTTCACCTCTCATCCCTAGAGTTTGGGGCTTTTGCAGGCTACCTCCACCTTCCTGCAGACCTGGCTCTGCCCTCCTGTGTGTGTCAATGCTAGGGTGAAATGGCCCTTGGAAGAGACAGGCTACTGGAAAGTTCTATTATCAAACTGTCAGAATGCTTCACAGATCTTAGGGCATAAATTCACCATTCTCATCCTCGGATATGAATGCAAACACTTGATGCTTCAGATTGGTATTTTCCTGCACCTACCAGAAGTTCAAAATGTTATCCCTTGCTTTAAATAGTCAGTTTCAGGGCCAGCCAAATAGCTCAGCAGATTAAAGTGCCTGCAAGCAGGCACAGGGGCTGGTGGTTCAATCCCTGGGCCTGCTATGCCAGCCCCGCCCCCAGGGTGCGCTGAGATAGCAATTAAGACTGGGCATGGTGTTGCATACCTGTAATCTAAGCTCTTGGGAGGCTGTAAACAGGCGAATCACTACGAGTCTGATCTAGGAGTGAAACCTGAACACCCTGTAGACCCTTGCCTAAAAAAAAAAAAAAAAAGTCAGCTTCCCAGTGCTATGTGCTAACTTGTCACCAAGCCCTGGCCACATTCCAGAATCCTGGTGGCTAGTGGTTCCAAAGCCTGCACTCAGATAGAAGAGCAATCTTACAAGACAATGACCCTACTAAAAAAAAAAAGTAGCCTACTGGCAATTCAGTATTATAGATCTATAGAAAAATTCAAACCAGTTTTCCATTCCATGAAACTTATAAAAAGAATTCTGTTCCAAGAAGTCATTTTCCAAACTCATAGACAGCATTTTTGTTTGTATTTAGTTTCTATAGCTTATAGAATGGAGTGAAAAAGGAATTTCAGGAAAAATCTGTAATTTAAAGGATGGCACCCTTTCTTCTAATAATTGATAAAAGGATGGCAAGCATTAGGATAAATTAAATTCAACTCCATGAATACCTTTTATCTATGTGTCAAGTCTCATATAAAAGCAAGCGTTTGGGGGCAGGGGATGAGCTGAGGCAGGACAATTGCCGAGACTCCTATGCACTGTGCAGCAAGAGGTCCCCTGATCACACAGCTTGAAACTGAAACCCCTGCTGGGGCTGCCTGTGCTGCACGGAGCCTCCATTCTGCTTCTCCTGAATGTATAATGTGGAGCTCCTTCCCCTACAGTGCAGGGACAGAACATAAAACCAACCCATTTGTGGTTTCTGTGACAGTGGTGAACAGGCGAGGCCTGGGAATCCCCAGGGCTCCAGCACGAGGCTGCCACTGAGTGCTGAGGTGCATTCTCCAGGAGCCCTTGATCCTAGAAGCACTGAAAAGGCAGGACACTAAGCCAGTGTCTCTTTACCTGCCCAGAGTGCCATCCTGAGGGAGCCACTAAGCAAACTCCTACTTTGGCATCCTCTGAGAGAAGGCAAGTTGATTTGAAGCAAATTTTAGAATCACTGTTTCCTTCTGGGTCATGTGGCCTGCACCAGATTTAGGCTCCATCTCTGTTTCCCATAGTACTATATGTGAAGAATCCTACATGGACCCCAAGACAGAACTGACCCTGGCAAAGCCCTCTGTCACTTGACGCTTGTCCCCTCTCTGCGCTCAGCTGGATTCTCTAGGCTGAGCAGACAGAAGATATCTCTTACTATTCAAGGATTGCAAGAATATAAAATACAGATCTGCTTACTGTTAACTTTGACTTTTTAACTCAAGTGTTTTTAAAACTCTGATTTTATCCTTTTCTTGGCAGCAGAATTAGCAGATCTTTTATTCTCTTTCCATTTCCTCACAGCCCCATTCCCACCCAGTCCTCTCATGCAGACATACATATTTAATAATAATTCTAACACTGTCCAGTGCCTGTACTGCACCAGGAGCAAGGTGCAGTAACTTCTCAGTGCTTTTGAGGTAGATGCAGCTAGGATCTAAAGCTGAGGTGCACAGAAATCAAACTAACATCCCCCAAGTCCCGCAGCTTGCATAGGATGCCCTGAGCACTTGACTTGAGTCTCTACCCTTGCAGTCTGTGTATGTAGCCCCGCCTGCAATTTCTACCCCCCAGGGGGGAAGGTGTTGTGTCCTCCCGCAGTCAGGATCTCCAGATTTTCCTTACCTCTTTATCCTGGTCTCGTATTCTAGCTTCTGTTTGGTCATTTCTTGTTTCAGGCTGGAAACTAGACTGTGCAGTGCACTGTGGGAGCTGGTGGTGTTACCAACGAACGTCTCGCTGTTGTCACTGCTGCTGGTGGCACGACTACTTCGACCTCCCACACTCCTATGGTCACTTTTGCTTTCATAGTCCCCTGGGTGAGAAATGTCATCCTGGGGTGGCCCATCCAGAACAGGATCCTCAAAGTTCCCCCCATAAAAGTCTTGTTCTGGGCAAGTGGTCGTGGAGGAGCGGCAGGAGTTGGAGTTCTCGGGGAGGGAGATTTCACAGGAGGAAGTGGACCAGGTGGCACTGTCCACACTCTGTTTGTCATCAAGGTTCATCATGGAGAACTGCTGGTGGACATTGTCGTAGGTAGAAAGCCTGTTGTGCTGGGCTGACTCTCCAGCTTGCTCCTTCTGCTTGTTGTCCCTCAAGGTCACATAGCCATTGGGCAGCCAGCTCATGGTGCGACCATTCATAGGGTTCCCGAGCATGTCGGGGTTCAGGATGCCCATGCGTACCGTTCCATTCTGTACACTGTGGGTGCCCATTTTGGTACCGGACCCCTTCAGTGAAGAGGTCCTCCTGGCTTGTAAGCTGCCATTGGGGGTGGTTTGAGTTTTCTCCAGACTTTCTGCATTACTGCTGCTGAAGGACCCATTGGTGACTATCCCACTACCCTTACTGAAGGCAGGGTTCTTTTTGACCATGAGAGGGGGGCTCCTAGACACGTCCAGCTTGTGCACGCTATTCCTTGGGCTATTGGTTTTGCTACCTGGCAGAGCTGTGGGGGATCCATTGTCTGTGCTGCTTCTCTGGGGAGACTCAGATTTGTCCCAAGAGCACTGCCTTCCGGGGCTGTCCTTGGTGTTATTGTTTTCCTTGTTCTGTAACTGACCCGTGGTAGGTTTCTTCTGAATGTCATTGTTGTTGTTGCTTACTCCATCCTGAGGCTTGCTTTGCAATTCTGTGTCCTTGGGGAAGAGGCAATCATGTTTGCTAATCATGAAGGACATCAGCTGCTGGACCACCACAGTGCCTGAAATTGCATAGAAACAAAAGCAATGTGAGGGAGTAAGCCTTGAGTAGAGCTGTAGTTCAGTTCACAAATTTAATCCTTTCCATGATTCTGGCCCCAAACTGATTTGGCTAAGAAATGAATCAAGTTCAATGGATAGTTCAATGTCAGTGGACCTTATGGGGAAATTTGATTCAGTTCTTGTTTAATTTTTTTTTTTTCTGGAACTGAGGATTGAACTCAGGCCTTTGGGCTTGCCAGGGAAGCGCTTATTCCACTGAGCCATCTTCCTGGCCCCAGTTCCTGTTTAATTTGGTTTAGGACCAGAAATGTGGAAAGAATCAAGTTTGTGAACTGAGGTACCCCTGTATTGCTTATTTTTAATGCGGGACTTAAACATATGTAGGTAAAATTCAGCATTATTATCAGCAACACCAGATTATATTCTTGATGATTATAAAAGCAATAGATGTCAAAATCTCCTGAGCATTTACCCTGGTCCATGAACTTACTAAGAATCTAATTTTTATCGTTCCTTGGATTTTAAAGCACACACACACTGTTATTCTCACTGTATTTGAAACGTTTAATAATTTGATCAAAGTCACAATGCTACTAAGGATCAGACTTTGAACTTGTACCCAATTACCTAGCTCAACATTTAGACTATTAATCATTATACTACATTAATTGCAAGTTTTACATATAAACAGGAGAGCTCAATGCAGGTTGATCTTTCATCAGAAACAGCAATTCACAAATCAGTTGATCTCTTAGGTGCCGCGGCATATCAGCCAAAACATCAAGTGCATCTTCCATATATTATTCTTTACTCTGTAAGCAAGGCTGCTGCTCCTTACAACCAGCCGTAAGAACCAGGAGCAGCCACTTGACCTGGATCAAGACCATTTTCCAACCTGAAGCAACCCATTAGCAAAACAGTTCATATTCAAATTGTGAACAGGAAAAGTACATCATGCTCATGTACATGCTGTACACATTTCCTGGGATGACTTGAATTTATATTTAGGCAGAGTGCTTGCACTGTGCCAGGTCTGCTGCTAGACTAACATTGGTCAGATTTTAACGTTCGTATGGATCACCTGGAGATCTTGCCAAATTCAGACTCCAGTTCCACAGCCATCTGTGGAACTGAGATTATAGATTTCTAGCTGGCTTCCAGGGGACAGCACTATTAACAGACCAGTGACACTAACTTTGGCTGGGAGTATCTTGATTTCAGGTGCTCCTACAGACCTCCTGAACCCCAATCTCCATGGTAATAATCTCCCAGGTGACTCCTGCTTGCAATAGAGTTTGAGAAACCCTGTGGTTGATGGGAATGGTTCTCACTTATTTTCCAAATTAAGTTTCTTACAAGTCTGTGAGATAGGACTTAACATTCTTTTAGATGAGAAAAACTCAGTTTCAGAAAGGTTAAGCTATTTGCTGAAGGTCTTAGATGGATAAGTAAGGAGAAACCTAATGCTCGTTTTTCTTATCCCAATTTGCACACTGTCTGGCTATATTTCTGCTTGTAGAACTTAAGCTGGTAATAATCATAAACTCAGAGTAGTTCCAAGAATTCTAAATAAAAGACAGCAATCTATTGACATACCCACACTTACGGCAGATTGGTGGGAGATAACAAACTAAATGAAATTAATTTTATTGTACATACATCTGTCCTCTTTTAACAGTGTTCGGATTTTAATCATAGTTTCAATGCAGTGAATCTAGTGAGAGACTTTAGAGCCTCAGGACTGCCTGGTAGCACTGCCACTGTTGAAGACATTGTTTACTTGATGCTATTTCATGATCTGTCCATAAGAAAAACACATTTCAAGGGCTTCCAGGTTCTGTTATAGGAGACTCTTGACTAGTATTTGGGGAAAATGAACCTTGTTCCCATCCCTGGAATATTAACATTGAAGCATCCCTGCTTTCCATGACAGCAAAGAACTTTGGGGGGTGTTTAATTAACTAAAGAGCAGATCCCCGAAGGGTCCATAATGAGTGTGTGAAAGCCATCAAAAAGTGTATTTGCCACAATTTCAGAGTGAGTGTCAGGCCTACCAGACAAAACCCCTCTTTCTAGTGTACTGGAAGGCTTTGCCTTCATCCCATCTACATGGTGACAAATGGCAGTCATCCTCTGTAATGGGCCCTCCGAGGCCAGACTAGGCTGGCGGGACGAAGATGGTGCGCCCCTGTGTGCACCATCTTTTTGCTGTTTGTTTCCCTCCCCCTGTCATTTTCTCCTTGTGAATGCTGATAAGGAACACCAAGCCCCAGTGAGGTCAGCACGGCTCTAATGGCCAGGACGCCACGCAGAGTTCAAGCCGGTTCTGGAGTCCTACTGTGCTGCACAACCCGCAGTTCCCTGGCTTGCTTCACTTTATGCAGGTTGAAGTTACATATCCTTTTATTGGCACTGTTCTTTAGAGGCACTGACTAGGAATTCAATTTTCTTTCAAAAATACCTAGGTGCTATTAGAAATAGGTCATGTATATTCATAAGCGGGCAGCATTCTATGCCCTATAGTTTCAACTTGTACTTTGGGCTAGAAATAACATATACATATGTCACTTCACATGTGTGCAGACATCTGTAAGATATCTGATTAGCTTTCATAAATGTATAGTCGTAGGGAAAACACCTAATTAGGATAAAGAAGTTTTCATGTGCACTTGTGTGTTTTCTGTGACTACAGCTCCATCCAGTCCCTGGCCCCTTCCTCTCTTGCATGCTTTTTAACCTGCTCTGCTCCCTGGCTGCCAGGAAGTGGGGCAGCTTGGCTCCTCCAGGCCCTCTGCCATGGTGTTCCTGCCCTGGAGCCAGCTGACCAGGGGCTGAATCTTCTGAAGCTGTAAGCCACATTAACTTTCTCTCCTTTAGGTTATGGTTCATTAAATTCCAACTGATATGGAAACTAAGCCATACAGCATCTGCGGAGAAGGAAGGAGTAGGGAATGAAGGGTGCTCTGATGGGCCTGAGCAGCCAAAGTAAGCTGTAAGTTTCACTGGAAAATGCAAAGGGCTCGTCCAGAAGAGCAGCTTTGGGATGGGATTCTGCCTTACTTCCCATGGTGATCTACAGTGAGGATGGGGGCAGTGAGAGCCCTCCGGCCTCTGGTAACTCTCAGTGCTGTCCAGCCAGGACTGTCATCCATATAGGAGCCAGATGGGGAACCACTGGGCACAGACTCAAGGTGGAGCAGGAAACAGAAGACGTGAAGGGAGGGGGCAACTAAGACCAAAGGAAGAAGCAAAGCCAGATGCCTCGAAGCAAGTGGCCCCAAGTGTTTCTGAATCCATACAAGAAAACACACAGGGTTCTGAGAAGGTGCACAGGCGAACTGGAATGTGTCTTCCATACAGGTGCGGCTTGCAGCAGTGCACCATATGTAAAGTTGGCTGAGTCAGGCTGATTGTCCAAAAGTTGATGTGTTTAGTTCCACAGTATCAAAGACATGTTTGTTAATGTAGCACTGGCATCATTTCAAATGCGTCTAAGTATTAGGAAGCCATTAAGCTCAAGGTTTTACTGCACCAGTTCTTTTTATGAAACAGTTCTAATTTTATAGAGGACAATAAATCCAGTTAGCTGAATTTCTGGAAATGAAAAGTTAACTTCATCCATTTTTGATACTACATCTGCCTAATGCTCAAGTTTGAATGATCATAGTTTGGCAGTAATTTTTCATATAAAAATGGAGTCGTAGGGAGCAGAGAGACAGCTTGGGGTTTAAGTGCCTGGCTGGCAAGTGCTAGGATATGGGTTTGATCCCCAGTACTGCATGACGTACCAGCCCCATGCCAAGCTGGCCACCAAGACATGGCATGTGCACACCTGTAATCCCAGCACTGGAAAGGCTGAGACAAGAGGATCACTAGGAGTCCGAGCTGCATAGTTAAACCCTATACAAATTTGTTTTTCAGGATCTCACTGCGCAGCTTGGACTCCTAGTGATCCTATACTTTTCAGCCTCCCTAGTGCTAGGATTTTAGGTGTGTGTCACCATGCCTGGACTCCATTGCCGGCTCAGCTTGTCCTAGGAGGGTGGGGCTGGCATGGCATGTGGTACCAGGGATAGAACCCTGACCCCTGTGCTTGCCTAAGCAAGCACTTAGTCTGCTGGGCTATTCTGCTAGCCCCCAAAATAAATAAATAAAAGATTTCTTTTTTCTTTTTCTTTTTTTTTTTTTTTGGTAGAACTGGGGATTAAACTCAGGCCCTTGTGCTTGCCAGGGACGCGCTTATTCTACTGAGCCATCTCCCTTACCCTAAAACATTTTTTTCCTTTTTTTTTTTTTTGGAACTGAGATTGATTTCAGGCCCTTGTGCTTGCCAGCAAGCCTATATTCAACGGAGCCATCTCCTCCGCTCCCTTTAAAGACCTTTTTTTTTTTGTTTTTTTGTGGAACTGGGGATTGAACTCAGGCCCTAGTGCTTGCCAAGGAAGCACTTATTCTACTGAGCTATCTCCCTGGCTCCCAATAAAAGATTTCTTAAAAATGCTTAAAAATGGAGTTGTAAGGCTCTTGCCGTTATTTACTTATTTTCCAATCTTTATTTATTTATTTATTTATTTATTTTAAAATAATCTTATTGAGAAACAAATAGCAATGAGTATCAAAACCGATTACTAGCACAGTTTCAATAATTAATGCATTGCATATTGCTGTCTTAGTGGTTATTCACTGTACAAGTTGCAGACATGATATCCTGTCCACAGACACTATTAGAACAAATCTCTCTATTCATTGAATTAAGGGAATGCAGCTATGTACCTATTCTATTTTGAATATACAGATACCAAATGGTTGTTCATTTGTATCTCCCTTTTTTGTTTAGTTTTGTCAGAGAAGGGTATTCCATTGTCATTTAAATATTGTAATATTTAAATTACAATGAATTCAGCAAAATATTCCAATATAGTCCAATAGTCCGTAATAGTAGTAGGTTTTCGGTAAGACTGACAATATCAGATGTTGTTGACTTGAGCCTTTTACAGCTCACATGCCTTTAAACCCTGCATTGATACAGGCTGAGGGAGTGTGTCAAATGCTGCATTCCTTTAAGAGACAATGTGCAGAACAATGCTCTATACACTGAGCTTATTACTTTCCCAATAATATTAGAAACATGTTCAGATTGGAAATATAATAAATTGGATACAACTAATATTTTTTTACTGAATCTCCTCAAGACCCTTCCTTATAACTTTGGCATTGTCTTTCCTGCTGCATCTGGATGGTGGTGAAGAAGATGATGCTGGTCCCATGTGGCACCATGGGCTTGATTCTTGCCAGCCACAGTGTTAGTTCCTTTGCCTAGCATTGTTTCTGCACCATTAATGCAAATAGTGCAGTGAAAGGACAGAAACCAGCTCATACTATTTTTGCTTGAACCTGTGGGGCTTCTGTATCTCAGAGCCCTCCAGGGAGCTGTGGACCCCAGGCTGAGAATCACTGGGGTCAAGAAATATCAATATGATAATGTGTGAGGTTACATTAATATAAAATATGATTAAAGTGCACATACTTGATTAAGGACTAAAATGGAGTGGGCATAGTATATGTATGTAGACTGTATATGATAGGTGCAGTACAAATATTAAAATAATGAAAGGAATTAAACAAAAGCATTTTAACATTTTTAAATGTTTTAGTAATTCTTATTACTTCCCCAATAATATTAGAAACATGTTCAGATTGGAAATATAATAAATTGGATACAATTAGTATTTTTTTACTGAATCTCGACAAGACCCTTCCTTATAACTTCAGCATTGTCTTTCCTGCTGCATCTGGATGGTGGTGAAGAAGATGATGCTGGTCCCATGTGGCACCATGGGCTTGACTCTTGCCAGTCGGCAAGAATCACTGGTGTCGGCAGTACTAGTATTATTCTTAAAGTACTGTGTGTGGTGAGATACACTGTAGAACAAATACAGTGGAGCAAATATTAATTATGAGATATTCTAATCCTGTCATTTTTAATATATTTGAGAACTAAAAATATTTTAAATGAAGATAATGGAGCTGTACTCAAGAAATAATAAATAAAAAGCTTACAGTCTTTATTATGAACTGGAAGTATAATAGGAAGTTTTGAGGAACCTTTCCTTTAATGCATGTACAGGTGTATATATTGTATTTGCGTATATAGATTTCAGTCTACTGTCCACTAAAAGGTCTAGAACCAATGACCAAGCCATTAACAAGCAGTATCACTGGTACTTGGATTTTGGCTTTGAAATATCATTTCTCCACAAAATAAATCAGGTTATCTTTTTTTTTTTATTATTTAGAGCAAGGTCTACAGGGTCTCATCGCGTAGATCAAGCTCATAGTGATCCTGTTTACAGCCTCCCAAGTGCTGGGATTACAGGTGCGCCAGCACGCCCACTCTCAATTGCTGTCTCAGTGGGCTCCGGGAACAAACTCCTGGCCCCTGTGTCTGTCTAAGCAGGTGTTTTAATCCACTGAGCTATGCAGGTTGTCTTAAATATTGGCCAGTTCCAGAGTGGGACAGGAAATCTAGTATGAATCTGGGAAATGTCCTACTAAGAAGAAAGGGTGCCATCTAAACATTCTGAGATTATGTCAAATGGTTTAAAAATACAACTTGAAAAGGCCTTCCCTGGCCAAAAATGAGAAAATATTAGTGAATTTCAATAGAATCTAATAATTACAATATCCTACCTATCAAATAGGTTTTACAACCTGAATTCATAAGGCTATTTATAATTGGAAAAGTAGTATTTACTTGTAGAGAATGTCACCTATTGATTTATTCATTATAAAACCCGGTAAATGGCAGCATTCAGCCGTAAGATCTCATATGCTGGAGTTACCTACGGCAGGCAAATGCACAGCAACAGAAGATAAATAGTGGATGCCAAAAGCTTGGTGATGAAGGGGATGAAGAATTGGTGCCAAGCAAGCAGAGTATGCGTTCTACAAAATGAAGATGTTGGTGGGGACAGCTACATAGCAACGAGAATGTACTTAATGCTACTGAACTCTACACTCATCGATGACACAATAGTAGATTTGATATTATGTATATTTTACAATAAATAATAAAAATAGAAAAAATAGAATTAGAGTATAGTGAGCTACCCATAATTTATGTTAGGGATTGTGTGAAATTCACAGAAAGAGGGATAAACAGACATTATTACATGATTGGTGGTTTAAAAACACAACACAATTTATACTCACGCTAGGGTGACCAAAGATGAATTTGGTTGAGGTGCTACCTTGTAGAACATCCATATTAGAAGATCATGTTAAAATTCATGATGAGTACACAAGTAACAAAATCCATACTGAAAACTACAGGTTAAACAACCAAAGTTTCCAAATAATAAGCTATAGGTGTTCCTGTAAACCAACTGACTCTTAACAGGTATCAAGTAATGGAAGAAAAAACAATGTAATTCCGGGAGGTCTGTGAGGCAAAGACACAAGGAAGAGAATGGTGTACATGTATGAGCACAGGACAGAAGTGTAGTGATTGGCTTTGTGCATGAGGAAGGGAACCATTCTGCCTCGGTCTAAGTGGTGGATTTCTAGAGTGTTTATTTTCTATGACATGTTAGTTAAGGTGTGTGTGTGTGTGTGTGTGTGTGTGTGTGTGTGTGTGACTTTATTGGGTAAATTTAAGTTTATAATAAAAGTTTAGGGCTGGCCAAATAGCTCAGCAGACTACAGCGCCTGCTTAGGCAGATGCAGGGGCTGGGAGTTCGATCCTTGGGCCTGTTGTACTGCCCCCCCCCACCAGGGTGCATGATTGATGTGTGATCTCAGCTCTTGGGAGGCTGTAAACAGGAGGATCCCTATGAGTCTGATCTATGCAGTGAGACCCTGTAGACCCTGTCAACTTTGTCCTAAAATACCAAAAAAAGTTCAAAAAACTATGAATTAAAGTATCTCTAAGATTTTTATGTTAAATTTTAATATTTTCTGATGGCTGCTAAATTATTCATATGGAAATTACCTTTTCTAGACTATTTTATTGTCCAAAATCTGATGATTAATTTTGATTTATTTCAATAATAGATAAAATGCAGTTAAGCAGAGGTGTTATGGGTAGATACCCAAAGACTTTCTTTCTCTCACACACAGGTATAGAGGAATGAAAATGTTAGAATCATCAAGAAAGGAATATCAGGGAATATATGGCATATAACAGTATGATATTTTGTTCTAAGTAAGCCCAGAAAAAAAAAAAAGAAAAATAAGTATTCTTCACTTGCTGTATTAAGTTTTTAAAATGTTTGCAGAAAACAGTGATGTCCCTAGTGGTCACAGCACAAGAGCACTGTGTTTGGAGGACAATAAACAGTAGTTTCCTGTGGACAATAACTTTGAGTCATTTCTAATTGGCTTATAGGAATTCCTTCATGTTTTAGCCCCCAAGTAAATAAGCCACATTGCCTTAATAAGAATCCACTCTCTTTGTTTTCTGGAATCAATCAAAAGAAAACCAACATATTAACTGAACATATTAACAGAAAATGACTTAGAAATTTCTGAAAATTGCCCAGCACTTACAAAGAGACCTGGCTTTTTTCCCCCTAATTCTTTCATCTAACACCATAATGCTTATTTTTTTTTAATTTGTGAATGTTTTATTTGTTCTCATAAGGCTACTGTGGAATCATTTCATGATTTTATGATTAGCAACTTAAACCAAATTGCTAAGTGTCAAAAGAGAAGGCTTCACATTTTAAAAGGAAATAGTCAGTACATGGAGCTTTTGTGAAGTGACCTATGATTTTGAGTTTGTGAAGACAAGAATGGATTCTAGTCATCTCCTTTTGGTGAGACTGTGATATCAAGATTGGATTCTGGTCAACTAAGAGAGAGTCATTTCTCCTTGTGATGAGGCCGTGAAATGATTGTTCACTCACCTTCCATGATGGTTAAGGGATCTTCCACCTTGGGACGCAGGATATTTGGACCAAACACAGTTGCCAAATTCTGCACACTCATCTTGTTAACGCCTGAATAGGACTGCACTTCATCCAAGAACCTGTTAGTTGCAAGAACAGGATTGAAATACGATGGGATTAAGGTTACCAGTGGCTGGAAGTGGGTAGGTGGGATATTTATGGACTTAAGTACCAAATGTTTGAAGATGATTAAGCAGGCAAAATTATCCCGAAATTCAAACAACTTTTATTTATACTTAGAGAAAATATTCTGCAAATTGTGAAGACACAAACTTTAGGGAGCATATCAGATACCTGTTCTGGCTTCCCCTGGCATGGTCACCTTGTTACTTGAAGAGCCAGTATACCTGGGCAATGTCAGTATGAATGTCCGAGTCAAGGATGTTCTCCCTTCCTGATGTTTATGCGAGTGACTTCCAAAGGCTTAGGTACTGAATGCTTGTTTTCGAGCCTGTGGTGCTATTAAGAGTTGATGGTATTTTCTAGTGGTTGGGGCTGAGGTCTGCCCTTAAAGGATACGATGAAGGCCCAGTCACTTCCTGTCTTTCCCTTTCACAGCTCAGCCACGAAGTGAATGGTCTTGCTATGAACACCTCCCCTGACATGTTGCATTGCCATAGGCTAAAAGTTACAGGGCCAACCCATTAAGAGTTGATTCCTTGGGCTGGCCAAATAACTCAGCAGATTAAAGCACCTACGAGCAGGCACAGGGGCTGTGGGTTCAATCTCTAGGCCTGCTGAGCTGGCCCCACCCCCAGGGTGTGCTGAGATGGCAATTGAGACTGGGTATGGTGGATCACTACAATTCTGATCTAGTAGTGAGACCCTGAACACTCTGTAGACCCTTCCCTAAAATAAAAAAAAATTAATTCTTTTTTTTGCATCACTGGTGATAAACCCAGTGTATGCCTTGACCTTGAACTGCCTCCCCAAGCCCTTTCTTTGACTTGTTTTATATTGAGACAAATTCTCACTAAGTTGCTATGCTTCCCAAGCTGGGCTTAAACTCCTGATTCTCCACAAGCCAAAATAAGTCTTCTCTCCTTTTAAATTGATTACTGTGGGTATTTAGTTACAGTAACAGAAAGCTGACTAATAGACCTAAGCTTTCAATACAGTATAAAGCTTAGTGATGAGATATGCTTGTAATCTCCATATTAAGGAGACTGAGACAGGAGAATCAGGAATTTATCACCAGTGATGCAAAAAAAAATTTATACACATGTTCAGTTGGAGAATTCTCTATAAAATCATCTGTTAAATTCTTTCTTTTATAGAGGAACAATCAACTCTTTGGGGGGAATATCAACTTCATATTTATAATTCATTAAAAAATAAGATCAAATAGTGTGGAAATTAAACCATTAATCCTCCTAATATGAAAAATTACAAGAACAAGTTTTTAAATTTATTAAGTACTATAGAATAAAATCTATCCAACAATCCTTTTCTAATAAATGGTTTTAGCAGGAGAATTTGGCCCTTTTTTCATTCTCCACCTCCTCTTCATTTCTAGAAGAGCTGTTATTTCTTGAATTGCTAATTATAAGATTGAAAAGAAATTATGAAAAAATAAAGATTACATGTTTATATAACTAATGCTGTGTGTGTGTCAGTCATGCAGATTGAAGTCGCACAGGATTTCCCTGAGGTAGGCACTGGTTCTCTCTCCAGTTTATAGATGAGAAGGAACAGTTCAGAGTATTCACTGAGGATCTGGGGTCAATATGTGGGGCAAAGCTGAGCTTCGATCCCAGGATCCCAGGTGATATGTCTCCAGAGTTGCTGAGGTCCCTATGTCCACACTTTCACTACTGGAATATGGTCTGAACTACAGAAAACAGAAGGCAAAACATCAAAATTGAGCTAAATTAAAAGTCTCCTTTAATGTTTCAAAACAGAGTGAAATATTTCTATTCTGGTTACAAAGACTTGCAATGCTGTCCCAAGACAAGCCTTTCTTCCTTTTTTATTTGCTTTTCCCTCAATACAGGAACTTGAGTTAGCTTGAAATCTCGGGATGAAAGTCTTATGTGTTAATAACTATATGATATCAAGGAAACTTTTTTTTTTTTTGCTTTTTAAATTCTGAACCCTAATGTCTTGCTTGTTTCTGAACATAACCATCACCAGCGCAAGTTTTGACAGGAGTTCTTGGATTTTCTATTCCATCCTCTTCTCCACGAACTCCGTGGTGGTGGGCTATGTGTTCAATTCCACAGCTCCTCAAGCTGTGTAAAACATGGGTTTTCACCACCACTGTGCTTATGCTGACCCTGAAGTGCAGAATCGTGAGGCAGCTGCACAGATAGTAGGCCGTCCAGGGTGGCACCTGCCCTGCTACATGGAGAAGGGACAAGGGATGTCTCTTTTCTAACATCCCACACAGGAAGCAAATGATTCTGATGCATGTTCAGAACAACAGGTCTTTACTATGTGGAGGCCAGAGAGATTTCCCAACCATGGAATCCCCAAACTAAGCAATCATGGGCTCCAAACACTTCTGAATCGCCTTGTCAAACCTTGTAATTTTCTAGAGACTGACATGAAAATTCATAGCAGTTTGTGACTTTACTCACTGTCAAGAGTAAATTATTTTCAGGTTAACTAGAGATTGTGTTGGTTAGCTTGTCTTTAGGAGAGTTCTTACCTGCAGATGTATTTGAGGAGATTGTAATTAACCACTGGCAAACTCTTCACCTGCTTTGCTAGTTCCTTAACACCCTACAAAACAGAGAACAAATGTCATTTTTTCCCCTGTACCAACCTTAGGATTAAGCAAATCACAAACACTGTACAATTGAGTATGTATGTACAATTGAGTACAGATGTTACATTTTTCATATGACAAATGCCATAAAATTGAGTATTTTTAATAAGTTTACTTGACAAAAGAATGGCCTTGATATGATGAGGATTTTTCTCATTTTAAGAATAACTAGAATTTAGGCAAACAAACCTTTTGAAAAATAAGTGTCTCTGAACTAGTTACATCTAGGATACATCATTTCAGGTGGAAAGAAGGCGGGAAACCCTTGGAAACTGCACAGGAATTAATTTCTTTGGTTGATCCCCTTTAAAGCTTCATCTAATGTAGAAATGGTCCCCGAAAAGCCAGCTGATAATATGATTAGATTTTTTCTTCCTGTTAAGGGCCAGATAGGAAATATTTGCAGGACAAAGTCTCTGTCCCTGGTATTCGTTACTCTATTGCAGGGTAAAATCAGCCCCACACAATATGATGTGACAAAGAATAAAATTGCATTTGTAAATTTATGAAGCAATTTTTGGCAAGAATGCCAAAAATATCTAACAGGGGAAAGAATAACCTCCCAACCACTGGTGCTGAGACAGCTAGATAACCACACAAGAAAAGATGGCTTTGTCTCTTTTGCTCACATCATAAAAAAGAAAGATCTGGAAATCGACCGTGTGGTCTCCATGTGAGAGCTGAAGCTATAAAAGTCTTAGAAGGACATATAAAAGTAAATCTTTTTGAGGTTTCTTAGCTGTGCTACAAAAAGAAACACAGTGATAAAATAAAAATAAAGAAATTAGACATCATCAAAATTAAAAAAAAAACACTTGGGTCTTAGAAGACAGCATCAGAACATAAAAAAGCAACTGATAGAACAGGATAAAATATTTATAAATCATATATCTGATGAAGGCCTTACAATTCATTGAAGCAAATACACTTGGCCCTCCATATCTTATGGATTCAACCAACTGTTGATTGAAATATGATAGAAAAAATCTATACCTGTCCTGGGTATGTCTATTTTTTCTTCTCTTATTCCCTAGATGATACAGAACAACAGCAACAGAACAAAAGCATTTACAATGCTTTTACATTGTTTTAGGCACAATCCAGCGATAATCTGAAGTATACAGGAAGATGTGCATATGTTATATGGAAATGTTACACTCTTGTATACATGGAACTTGCACAATCATGTCCGGAAACTTATCTCCCATAGACCTTGGGTTGCTGGAACTCAATTAAAACTAGAGTAATAGTTAGAAGAGATATTACTCCAATGCAAATACATGAAAAGATATTCAACATCATTGGTTGTATAGAAAATGACATTCAAAATTCAATGTTACACCACTTCTTACACTTTAGGATATATACGGTAAACAAAACAGATGAGAGGAGTGACAGCAGAGAGGTGGAGGAATTGGCATATGTCCACTTTACTGATGAGAGTTTAAAATGGCAAAGCCTCTCTGAAAGACAGTTATATACAGCCCAGGAGTTGTACCTTCTAGGCATATACCCACAGGAAAAGAAAGTACATGTTTATGCAAGACTTGGTACAAGAATGTTCATAGAGACATTATTCCCAATATCCAAATAATGGAATTAAAACAAATGTCTTTTAACTAACAAATGGGTTGGAAATGGTTATTATTTGGAAATAAAATGAATGAAATACTGGTATGAGGTTTAGTCCTGAATGATCTTTTAAAAACCTGAAAAGGCTAGTCACAAGAAAGAAAAAAAAATATACTGAATGATTCTGTTTAAATGGAAAGCTTGGAATAGGCAAGTCTATAGGGAAAGAAAGTAGATTTGTAGTTGGTAAAAACTACAGAAAGAAGAGAATATAGAGAAGGTCTGGGGTTTATTTTAGGGTAATAAAATGTTCCACGTGTTCTATTCTTAGAATTGAGTGATGGATGTGCAACTCTGAGACTATTTTGAAAATCACTGCGTTGGACACTTTAAAAGGTGATTGTATAAATTAGATCTCATTAATGCTGCTTTTACACTGAACAGAGAAGCAGGAGTTGGTTCAGAGGTTAATGTGTGAGGTGATTTAGGGTCATGCAATGAAATAGGGGCTAGGAACCAGCCACTTACATTTTTCATAGAATGTGCAGCCTGCGAGGCCACCATTTAGGGGAGCAGAGGGCCAGGGGATACTGATTTCATTTATTCAGCTGTATTCCCTCTTGTGGTCAGACTGGGAATCAAAACGAGGACTTGAGTTGTGTGTGGAAGGTCTGGATGTGTGTAGTGTCAACACACAGAAAAGCAGAAAACAGTCTGAGGATAGCACAGGAGGGAATTTGAGCATCACAACCCAAGACACAGAGAATCTCCAAGAAAAACACATTTGAAAATAAATGCATCGACTTACTGCGTCTTCTTCCTTGCTGAGCTGTTTGGCGCATGCCAAAAAGTCTTCATACTTGGCGTAAGGAATTACTGGCTCCGGGAGTTCTCGGAGATACAGCTTAAGGAGCGATGCCACCGTGTGCACATCGGTGTTGCTGGGGGAGAGGGCGGAAGACATTCTTTGGAGTGGACTTTACGCCATTTGCTTATTTTCTCCTCAAACACATATCCAAGTGTCAGCATTATACCCACATCAGCAGTTCAGTCTGCAAGCCCAGTTTTCAGGGAACACAGACACATGCTCTGCAATGCTGAACTGCCTAGAGATGCCACTATAGGGGAGGAGGAGGATGCCACTATCAGAGAGGAGGAGGATGCCAGTATAGGGGAGGAGGAGGATGATACTGTAGGGGAGGAGGAAGGTGCCACAATAGGGGAGGAGGAGATGTCACTATAGGGGAGGAGGAGGATGCCACTATAGGGGAGGAGGAGGATGTCACTATAGGGGAGGAGGAGGATGCCAGTATAGGGGAGGAGGAGGATGACACTGTAGGGGAGGAGGAAGGTGCCACAATCGATAGGGGAGGAGGAGGATGTCACTATAGGGGAGGAGGAGGATGCCACTATAGGGGAGGAAGAGGATGTCACTATAGGGGAGGAGGAGGATGCTACTATAGGGGAGGAGGAGGATGTCACTATAGGAGCTGGAGGAGGATGCCACTATAGGGGAGGAGAAGGATGTCACTATAGGGGAGGAGGAGGATG